AAATGAGGGCGAAATCTCTGGGTAGTGTCTTATCTACAAATCCATTTGCCTTCCAAAATTTACCTCGGAACTTATTCAGTTAAAACTCCCTCGCCAAATAAAAAGAAAAGCGAGCGGAGGCCGGGGCCGAATTTTCGGAGCCAACAATACTTATGCAAGTATCCATGATCTACTGCATGATATAATGAATTCCTTTCGAGAAGATTTACTATAGAATGAAATTTAACTATTAAGTCGTCTTACAAGTATGTCCTGATTTTGCAGTGTCCTCTTTCGAACTTATTCAGTTAAAACTCCCTCGCCAAATAAAAAGAAAAGCGAGCGGAGGCCGGGGCCGAATTTTCGGAGCCAACAATACTTATGCAAGTATCCATGATCTACTGCATGATATAATGAATTCCTTTCGAGAAGATTTACTATAGAATGAAATTTAACTATTAAGTCGTCTTACAAGTATGTCCTGATTTTGCAGTGTCCTCTTTCGCATATCTTGGGCGTTCACTAGGATGGTTGTGTTGAAGTTTCATCATGCAACATGCTGTTTATTGCATAATACTTGTCTTACTCCCTGAACTTATCTATAATTCTGTTTCTGAAAAATCTTTGGTATCCTGCAGATTTCTTCTGTTGTTGCTTTTTGTCCTCCAATTGCGATGACCTATTTATGAAATAAATAAAATTTGGGAACAATATTTGGATCTGTCATAAGGTCTTATCATAATGAACAATGACCTTATCACCATATCACCATTTTTATGGTTTGGCTTAAATCCTGCACCTCCTTTTATTTGTCGTCAATGATATGTTAATTCTAGTTTAGGTGAGTCCTTTTTTAGCTCATAACTATGTTATATTTAGTCTGTCTCTTCTTCCTTTTATTTCTTCAAATGCTATGCCCTTCTATTCTATTGTACATGCACAAACTACCCAATTTAGTTTTCTATTATCTTATCTTTAATAGGTTTCACTTAATAATTTTAGTGTTCACCTCTTCTAATTTCATCACACACAACCGTGTTAATACAATCATTTTGGTTACACTCAAATTATTTTTTAGTGAATAATCTGATGTGCATCGGTTGAGCTTGAACAACACAATCATTGTTGTTGTCGTTTATGTTATGCATAATTATCCATCATGTTCTCTAGTCATTCTATTTCCATGGCACTTATCAATTTAAACCACCTAGTTTTGAACATATGAATATTTTATATAATAATTAACCGCCTAGTTTTGACCTTACAACTGATTTACATCTTTCTCTCCAATCCCCCACTTGTAAATAAAAGTTATCTAAATGTATGACATTTGGGTATATCATTAGTTCTCCATCATTTTTTATCGTTCATTATTACTTATATGCATATATATATTTGAGACTGTATATTAAGTGCAAAGTCTTTGTTCTACTAATTCTAAGCCCCTTATGAAACCGAGAACAAAAAAGAATAAAGATACTCATTCAAAGAACAATGAATAACCTCACAATCCTAATTTGCAACTCCTACAAGAAGCTTTGACCACCTAAAGCACTAAAATCTTGACCCCAAATGATTATTCCAATCTTGAAGGAATGGAAAAAACAGTAAATGACAAATAAAACATAGAATTACAATAGCTGAAAATAATTAACTGATGTATCTGTGGAAATTTCCCAACAAAATTGATGCTGGCCTGTTCTTGTTCTCTTCTAGTTGACGGAAAGGCAGCTTTGGCAACACCAATAATATTCCTAATGTTTGGGATTACCTTATTATAGATGTGTTTAATGACTTCAACATGCCTTTAATGAATAACTTTTTTCGTTAAATCCCATAGTTCATTTATCATGGAGCCCGATTATGTTTTTAAGGTTGCCCAACCAAAGCTATTTGAAGATCTTTTTTTTTTTTTAATTCTTTATACTTTTTTAGTACTTGGCACAAAAAGTAATAGTTTATTTTCAATGAATTCTCAAATATCAATGTGATTGTTGCTAGTGCTTGTTCGATCATGTTCTTGACCATAATGCCATTGTTGAAAGCATTATCTTCATCACTTGTTACCTTAGATCTTTCCTTCTTGTTCCAATTGTTTCAGGTTCTAATTCCCTTTTTTATTGATGTATACTTTGTTTTCCATTGTATGCTCGTATCATTTTATCCTTTTTCTTTGTGATCTTGTGATAGGAAGTGCTTGTAGAAATCAAAGAACCCTTGGTTGAATTTTAGTTTTATCAATTCCAAACAACAATCCACAAGAAGAACTATGAGGAATAACAAGAAAAAACCTCTTAATTGATGATATATGGAAGAAAAATAAACAAGATACAATGGGTGATGTGAAACGTTATCATGCGAAAGTGATTTGCTTAAAGAAGTTTGTACGCTTAGATTTAACAGCAATAATAAACAAGATCTTATGGAATTTAACGATAAGATAAATATTAAAGTGGTACCTAGCTAAGGTTATCTCACATGCATAGAAGTTAAGTTCAAAAGATAGCCAGCTTAATCCAACTTTGCATACATGAATTGTTCCAACAATGGATTCCAATACTAACAATAAGATTAGTCTATGAAAGATCCCTCACACAACTCTTCCTATTACTAGGTTCTAGCGGCGAATAATTGACATGATCTTCATGAATCCATTAATAAACCACAATTGAAAAGTGACTAAGAGATTTAATGATTTGGGGGAGAGTTTACCCAAATAATCAGAGAATACGAAGTTTCTGGTTTGATCACCAAGGCACTGGATGAAGAGCAATCAACAATGTCAAGGCTTGGATACATTTAGGAAGGTGATCATTGATTTCTTGGACAGCAGGGCAGCAAGAATGGGCCACCAAACTGAATGGGCAGCAGCTGGGAACTTGTGGACAGCAGCAGGTGATGGTTGAACCCCCCCCCCACCCCCCCCAAGGACTTCCAATCAGCAGTCCAAACAGCAACCTGGTGGGCTAGGACAGCAGTCTGATAAGACCCAGAAAACTCCAACCAAGCCAATACCAAGGAGGAGCTCGGGTAGTAGAGAAAAGCTTCAGACAATGGCAGTTTCAGATTTCTGAAATTGGATTTTAGTGAGGAGAAATGGGGGAAGCTAATTTGAAAATCCAATTAATTTCCAAAGGAAGTTCCAACGGTTAGTGGGGGATTAGGGGTTTAATGGGAGGCAATTAATGTAATTGAAAAGAGAATTAATGCATAAGTGGGCCCAGCCATGATCAAGAAGGGAGAGCTTTGGAATTTAACACGGTGGCCAGTTTGAAATAAGCTAATTCCATCAAATCTGATAAATTATAATTCTTAGCTTTCATGTAATTCTTAAGTAATTCCAATTGATTTTTAGGAATGGAATGAATTTGATATTTCAAAAGGAGCATATCTAAATTCTCCGTCTAAAATAGGCTCCTAAATGGGAGATAATTAGGAAATTGTTTAATTTGAGGATTTGAAATTCAAACAGCTGGGTCCAAGATTGGATAACGTCGCAAGGTGGATAGCTAGGCGGGCTGGGCTAGGGCTGGCCGGACGGTTAGGGCTCTGTGCGGTGGCCTGGATCAATCCAGGGTGGGGTCGCAGGCAAAGAGCAAGGGAGGGGAGATTGAGGGGAAATTCTCGGGACCCAAAGCAATGCAACTCCAATCTCCACTAAGTTGCTTTCAATTCAAATTTCACAAGACACGAATGTGATCAATGAGAACTAAAAGATAGATGATAGGAACAAGAAAAATCTATGAACTCACAAAGATGAATCTGCTTCTCCATACGAACTCCTAAAAGATCGTGGAGGGTTTGGCAACTCCACAAAGAGAACATTGAAATGTAGAACTCACAAAGAGATCAAAGTAGAAAAATTTTCATCTGTAAATAATCATTCCCTTCAAGAGGAAGGGAGGGTTAAGTTCCAAATACATGAGCAGGAATCATAAAAGACACAATTGCTTCGGCATAATACACATTGACGAGGTTCCCTAAGCTAAGGCATAATATGGATAAGAAATACATAAGGACTCATAAAAACACAACATATAAATATCATCAAATCAATAATATATCAAAAGTAGATCGTGTGTCCGTTACGATCATTGGATTTCTGATGTCCTCAACTCATGTGCTTCTAATTGGAGAGGAAGAATCGGCTCTCTAACATCCTAGCCAGCCAACCTAAAGCCCCCAGATCCTAAGCAACAACTTCAATTCAGACGCAAACAACAATCATCAAAAAACTGAAACCCTACATCTAAACAATCTTTAGAATAGCATATCAATAATATGTCAATCACCCCCAACCCCACCCCCCCCCCCCTTCCCCCCCCCCCATCATATTCTTCCGCTCCCGTAACTCCTGGTTGGTCCAGGAGGGACTGGTCTATATCTTGTTATGATAAAATCATTTTATTGCCACCATTTTTTTTCTTTCCCAGAAATTTGTTTTCAAGAAGTTGCTTTTGGGAAAGTAGAATAGAAGTTGTAGCTGTGAAAACTTTCTTTAAAAAATTCTGTCAGCCAAAGTAGAAAAATATAAGCTGTCCACGAAACTTTAACATAGTCCCGGCCTAGTTGAAATTAGGTTGATTCCTACGTTCTTTTCAAATTTCTGATTTCTTATTTAACATGATAGCAAGACTCCTTATTTGTTCCTATACCCTTTTCAAATTAGACCATTCTTCTCCTTGATCTTTATTGATATCACCCAAATTTTGTCTTGATAATTGTGTCCTGTTTTCTGTTATTTGTTCTCATGAATCATTTATTTTAAGAATGTTGTTTTCTTCCAATTTTTTTTTAGTTGATGTTTGGTTTACTTGACCATTTAAGAAGAATTAATATTTTCTTCGGCTATGTTTTTTTGCGTATATTTATGTTAGTAATCCTTTAATTCATGTCATGTGTGCAGATTGATGAAGAAATCCTTCAGGAGGTTGTTAAAATGGGATTTGAGAAGAACCAGTTGGTTGAATCACTTCATAACAGAATTCAAAATGAGGTATTCAATAGTATTGAAGTGTTTGGCAAACCATGTAGTTCTTAGATCAAGAGTCACTTTGTGTAGATTTGTTGTAGGCGACTGTGGCATACTATTTGCTTCTCGACAACAGGTTCCGTGTTGCCAGCGGCTATCTTGGATCTGAATTTCAGGAAAGCATGGTGTGTTTTGAATACCTAATGCTAAAGTTAGCATTAAATTACCAATTCAGATTTTTTGTTTCTGTTGTGTGGGATTGATTTTGTTTCTGATTACTAGGAATGTGGCTTCACTCGAGTGGGTACTTCTGATATACCTGCTTCTGCTGTAAGCCCTCCTACTTCTGCTGTTAGCCCTCGCATGTTTGGGTATATGGATCCCCAGGGAGTGGGTTTAAGGCCACATTTCCCTTCTGAAAGAAAATGGGCTCTTGGCCTGCAGGTCATGAAATTTTCCCATATATTGAATCCTCTCTGTTTATGCCTTACTGAAATCTTTTTGAGGTAGCCAACATTTATTATATCCTTTCAGTCCCGAGCTCATCCTCGCGAAATAATGATGGAAGTTCTTAAAGCTCTTCAAGAATTGAATGTTTCTTGGAAAAAGATTGGTCATTACAATATGAAATGCCGATGGATGCCTGGATTTTACCGTGGATACAGTGATGAATCTGATATCATTGGAAACGATGATGTCGCTGCAAGTGCATCTTACGTGGTCAAGTTTGAGGTTCAGGTACTTATGAACCATGCAAACACAACACACACAAACCCGCATGATTATACTCAAATAGTGACAATTTTAAGTAGTTCCATTTTTCAACTTATTTAGTGGTGATAAAAAATTATTCCTTTTTTTTGGCTCAAAGTATTCTATGCACATTCCTCTTTAATGATTGGTGGGTACTGAGGTGGTGATGTGAGCCAAAAATTTCTTGTAAATTTTGACTATTTTTGAACAGATAAAGAGCATTGTTTCGTTCATTTTTATAAAACGCCTCATTCATTAAATGGAGTTGTTAGGATTCTTCATAATTAGAAAAAGGTTAACATCGTATATTTTTTCTCCAAGGCTAGCCATCCGTTCTCCTTTTCCTGCATTTATGCATGATGTTAAATAAACTACACTTGGATTTTCCGTAAGTTTGCTATTTACATTTAATTATTTTTCATCATCTACTTGTTCACTTGAAGAGGGTCTTCAATGTCATCTGTGAAAGAAAATTCTCTAAAACACCTGTATTGTACATTTTTTAATAATTCATTTACTTGCTAGAACCATCATTGCTCATGCTTTATTATTGAAATCCATAAAAGAATCTAAACCAAACTTTATGTTGAGCCTAAAATGTTGGGATCATACTAATTATGTTGAAGATGATACAACAACAACATCAAGCCCTTATCCCACTATGTGAGGTCGGCTACATGAATCATTTTTCTCCATTGTGCCCTGTTAAAAGTTAAATTCTCATTTAAATCAAATAAAGAAAGATCAATTTTAATATTTTCTAACCAAATCTTTTTAGGTCTACCTCTAACTTTTTTAACATAAGTCAAATCTAATGCATATACTTTCCTAATTGGGTGATCGAAAGGCCGTTGTTTTATGTGACCAAGTCATTTAAGGCGACTCTCGCTAATCTTATCTTCCACTAGAGATACTCCAACCTTTTCACGTATATGCTCATTTCATATCTTGTCTCTAAGAATAAAGCTACCCATCCACCTGAGCATCTTCATCTTTACAACACTTAATTAAATATTATGCTTCTCTTTTAATGACTAACATTTTGCACCATAAAGCATTGCAGGTCTAATCACCATCTTGTTGAATCTTTCCTTAAGTTTGAGGGGGACTTTTCTATCACACAACAAGCTCGATGCATTACTCCACTTCAACCATCCAACTTGAATTCTACTAATAATATCCCCATCTATTTCACAATCACTTTGAACATTATACTCAAGATATCTAAAAAATACTCTTATTAATGACTTGATTACCAAAAGTCACAATTCCCCCCACAAGAATAATTATTACTAAAATTATACTACATATATAAGTTTCAGATCTACTCAAACGAAAGCCTTTAGACTCCAAGGTTGACTTCCATAATTCAAGTTTACCTTCAACTCTCTCTCTACTATTATCAACAAAAAGAATATCATTAGCAAAAAGCAAATACCAGAGCACAACCTCTTGCAAATGTCTAGCGAGAACATCCATGACTAAAGAAAAAATATATGGGCTTAAGGATGATCCTTGATGTAATTCAACTAAAATAGGAAAACACTTGGTCAAACCATCTTGTGTTTGAACACATGTAATAGCTCCTACATACATATCCTTAATGACTTGAATATAAGCATTATTATCCCCTTTCTTCTCTTGAAACTTTTTCATATGCTTTCTCTAAATCAATAAATATCCTATACAGATCATCCTTATTCTCTCTATACTTTTCCATCTAACCTCTCAATAAATGTATAGCTTCCCTAGTAGATTTACTCGGCATGAATCCAATTTTTAGAAACATTAGTATCACGTCGTAATTTATGCTTCATAACTCTCTCCCATAGTTTTAAAGTATGACACATTAACTTAATTCTTCTATAATTCACACAATCTTGTGCATCACTTTTATTCTTAAAAATAGGAATCACCACACTCATTCTACTCATTTGACATTTTTTTTAGTTTTTAAAATAATATTAAAAAGTTTAGTAAGTCAAGAAATTTCATTCATCTCCTAAGCATTTTCACACCTTTATTGGAACATGGTCAGGTTTAACAGCTTTTCCACACTTCATTTTCTTTATAAACTCTCTAACTTTGGTTTTACTAATACGTCGATAAAAACAAAAATCTTTATTTTCATTTAGGGTGCTAAATTTATTAAACTCAATCGCATTCTTATAATCTTCATTGAAGAGTTTATAAAAATATCTCATCCATCTTTGTTGAATATCCTCTTCTAAGAAAAGCATTTTTTGATCTTATCTTTAATATACTTCACTTGAAGTAAATGCGTACTACTCTTATATCTATGTTTGACTAACTTATACATATATCTTTGGCTCTCCTTAGTATATAATATATTATATAAATCATTAAAAATTAAAATATTTGCATCATATATTGCTTACTTAGACTCCTTACGGGCATTTTTATATATTTTCCAATTATCATAATTTTTACATTTAAACTAATTTTTATAACAAATCTTTTTATTTTTTTATCTTTTCTTGCACATTTTGATTCCACCAACTACTTTTACTATTAGAAGCTTTACCATTTAAAACTCCAAGTACATCTTATGCAATATTTTTAACATCACTAGCTACTTTTTCCTACATAACATTAGCTTTCTCATGCACAGACAAAATCTTAAGGTTTTGTATTTTACCCTCAAAAATATTTTTGTTTCTATTATTTAAATGCCCATCTAATCCTAGAACAACATTTTATTTTATTTTTTATTTTTTGTCCATTCATTTTAAAGTCCAAAACTAATAAGCTATGTTTGGTACAAATTTTCACTTGGAATAATTTTACATTTTTTTCAATCTAAACAATCTATTTTTCTTATAAGAGAATGATCAATCTAAGTTTTACTATATCCATTCTTATAAGTGATGAGATATTCATTTCTTTTCTTAAATAAGGTATTAACAATTATAAAATCTTAAGCTAAAAAAAATCTGATAGGGTCTTACCACATCCATCAATCACTCCAAACCTATAGCCACTATAAATATTTTTAAAATCATCTACCTCTACCAACATATCCATTTAAATCTCCTTCAATAAAATTTTTTCTTCAAGAGGCACCTTTATATTAATTCTTCGAAGTCATTCCAAAATTTTAATTTTGAACCCATAGCCAAACCTACTTGAGCAGAATTCAAATTGGATTGTTGAAGTGGAGGAATTAATCAGGCTTGTTGCCCCTCAAACTTAAGGAAAAAATCTATAAGATGCTGGTGAGACCTGTAATGCTTTATGGTGCCAAATGTTGGCCATTAAAAGAGAAGCATAATACTAAGTTAAGTGTTGCAGAGATGAGGATGCTTAGGTGGATGAGTGGCTTTACCCTTAGAGATAGGATATGAAATGAACATATACGTAGATAACCCGGTTAGATGGCTTGGTCACATTAAACAGAGGCCTTCCGATAACCCGATTAGGAAAGTTGAGGTATTAGATTTTATTTATATTAAGAAAGGTAGAGGTAGACCTGAAAGGACTTAGTTAGAAAATATTAGAAATGATCTTTCTTAATTAAATTTAAATGAGAATTTGACTTTTAACATGACACAATGGCGAAAAAGGATTCATGTAGCTGACCCCACATAGTGGGACAAAGGCTTAATATTGTTGTTGTTGTATCCAAACTTACTTGATCTTAAGCACTTATAATATTAATAATCTTAGTATCAACAAAAATATTTAAAATTATAATTCTATCTTCAATTCTATTAATTTTTACAATATTATCCTTTAAATTCTTATATATAATCACACCTACACCATTTCTAGTATGACTCTTACCAGAATATCATAGTTTAAATCTTAAACTATCAATTTTCTTAGCTTTCTCTCTAACCCATCTAATTTTCTGAAACCATAGAATATTTATTCTCCTATAAATCATAATATCTATTAATTTCATTAATTTGCTTGTAAGGGTACCTATATTCCATGTTTTTGTCCTAATTTTAGTTTCATGAACTAACTTCTTTCCCCACATCCGACCATGACGGGGAATCCTTGCCTATTTAACATTTCACCTAGATGTCGGTGCAACGGCCCTTGCACAATTGTTGATGTATTCAGGTCATACAACGCGTCGCTTCGAGGGAACGTCTTAGCATTAACATAATGTATTAAATGATTCATGTCTTGATTATTCAACAAGTTCTACACTAGTTGTCGACTATCTAACGCAACCCTCAACTTTTCTCATTCAGTATTAGAGACCTAGCAATGACAATGTTAATTATGTTGAAGAAGGATAATCTAATTGAATTTAATCTTCGTACCTGTATAGCTTCATCTGTACCGCTTAACCTTATAACTATGTGGCTCACCCTCTTGCTGATCCCTTTTATGGTTGCTTTTTAATATGGAGTTGTGAGCTCTCTGGTCACTTCAATTTGGTTAAATTAGTAAGCATTTATTCTCTCGTTCATTCCCTATTGCCAAATGGATTGGAAGCTGCCCTAGTTCGGAGCAGATTTCCAAAGTCTGACCATGTGGTGGTAAAATTTGCTCTAGAATTTCTCATCTAATTTGCTTATTAAGAGTTTGTCCATGTTAATCATGAAATATTTTTGCAGCAGGACGTACTATTATTAACTAGACATGTTAGGTTGTTCAGGAACTTAAGTCATGTCTTTATTTTATAGTCTGTATAAAAGGAACTATAGTTTAACATCCAAGTGCAAAATTTTTTATATCAACATGATTTATTTTATCCAAATATGGACTGTTTATCCCAAGCATGTGTTAGGAAACACTTGAAGATCTCAAGTGAAACCTAATGATCTTGACAAAAACAGCGAGAAATCTCCACAAATTCAACAAAAAATCAGATAAAAACAGGAATTTTATTGCAAGAACACAAACTAACGGAAGAAAATAGTAAGATACAATTGATCCTCTATTAAAGAGGAGGATCTTTCTCTCCCAAATTTTTAGACGCCGCTATAGCCCAAAGAAACTATGAGATC